AAGATTATGTATTTAAGAAACGTTATTAATTTTTGAAAACGACGAAGCTCAAGAGAAAGAGTACAAACCAAGCTATTTTTGAGTACCGTAGATTTAATTGTTGGGGAAAACTTTATAACAACCTGATAGATTATTCACAGATAAGAAAAATACCAGATTCTAACAAAATATACAGTCACCCTACATTTTGAGGTAACACAGGTCCACGAAATTCCGCCACTTCAACATCGTTAGTGATCGAAATCCAATTTCCAACAGAAGAGTATGTAGACAAGAAAGCTTGAAGAGGGCTTTACATGTAACAAGTAGGTAGTGAGGTTAAAAAGGGCTCGAACTGAATATCAGTCTTTCTATGACCTATTTTTGTAGGGCTCCCGCGTAGGTTGTAAAGATGGCCCTCTGGAATTATCTCTGTTGAGATGGTCGGATAGTCTAAGATGTAACATGTCATGATACGAATGTCTCTCAGCCCCTTGCATCTTAATCAAAAAACTAATGTCTTTCCCATTCTTTTGTGTAAATGTTTCTTATATGGGCTGATTTATAACCTGGTAAGGCTAGTGAGATAGCACGGTGACCCAAACAAATCATCCAGCAATCTAGTCAGTGAATGCCAAAGAATTTACCGATACTCATCTTGGTCAAGAAAAAGCAACGCGCACCATCCATTTGCATGCCATGGATTTAGTCCAGTGTAAATATGCTCGAAGTTGTCACACCAACTTAGTGTATCATGAACCGAAATAACAGTCATGTTTTCATTCATGTAGTCAGTGAAACTGTCATATTATGATGTAATTTTCATTTTTAAAAGACTGCATGTTGTGGATGCGGAGGAATAGACCAATAATTATCATGTTAAGTCCAATGGTGTCCTTGGACTTTAAATGGACATTTTCTATTGGTCGATATCTGTTCACTTGTGAATATTGTACAAAATGTTGTTTTCTATTTTATGGTACGATGTGGTATGCTTGATTGATATATAAACAAAGTATGTTTGAAATATAATGATTCATATCTCCGAGGCTGTGACTTTTGTTCTGGACTCAGCTAACTGGGCTAGACAGGGAAATGGGGCCAATCGAGACTCTAGGCCGTCCGTACGTGTTTGCGTGTCACTGTAATCAATCGATAAGTACGCTGCTCTCTAATTTTCCAGTCAAGGACACAACAATTAGCACAGGGTAAAAATCGACAGCAACCTAAAGTCATAACACTGCACTATGCCGCGAATTCATCCATGACAATAAGTTCTATTCATCATGTCGGGACGTATAACAAGCTGGAATGATATCCAAAGTAGTGATCGTTTTGGAAGTAGACTGACAGTGAATAAAGGAAAAAGGTATGAAGCTAAGTTCAGTTCTTGCAATTGTGCTGTTAACCATGTTTTGATTTCCAAATGACTATGGTCATTAAGCTAGTTCATCGTATTGGCCCATATCTTTTTAGGTTTATAGAATTAATTATCTATATTCAGCTACTTTAAGTAAAACATCTATTCAGCCGAAGCACATATACGACACCATTCAGAAGACTTTTTAGTAGTTTTCGGTGAAATATTTCGAAGGGGCCTGAAAAGGCCTGGTAATGGGTAAGATTTGATCTGTTAGAAAGCGAATATGACAACAGTTATTTATCCTTTCACTCTAACTATGGCCCTCGTCTTTCTTTTCTGACCAAAACAACAGATAAACTCAGCGCACTGATTGCGAATTTCTAACTTTTTATCGTTCAACTTGCTTTCACGCGACAACTGATCTAATAATGCTAAATTTTCAAATACGAAACCCTTTCAATTGTTCGATAGTATTTTCAACTTGGTTCCGGGTTGTTAGGTACCCGGGTCTCATAATATTCTCGTATATAAGAATGGTATTCATACCAGGACACTCAGTATTTCTTTTACTCGTCGACGGATGAAATGAGACTAATAGTGATTTTAGTTTTAAAAAACGATTACGTTGGAGTCTGATATCTAGATAGTAAGGAAAATATCTACAAAGCAACACTAAAAACGAAATGGAATAACATAACTCACGTAAGCATGCCGGAAAGAATATACCGACATGAATAGTAGCAGCAGAAGACGAAAAAATAAAACTGATTAAAAATATTAGTGCTAACATTGAGAGTATGACGTAAATTACCGAATTTCTGCACGATGAGGGAATAAAATTTGCAGCGTCACGAAAAAAACTAAGGGAAAATCACAAGACTAGGCACCCCGAATATCACTGCTTTCAAAGATGGAGAAATTGGTAATTCCCGTTTTATTCTGAATGGTCGCTAAGTAGACTGCTAAAATAAAGAACTAGAGTTAGGTTTGTTTCTAGTTAACTGGCCTATGAGGTATGAGTTAAACTCTGCTTCTCGCACTCACTCTAACCAATTTTTTTGGTATAACTTTGTATTGTACAGTCATTAGCGTAGTCATAGTTCCTAGATACGATGGAGTAGTGATCCATGAGAGGTATAAACTTTGAGGTGTTATTTTGATGTAAGCTGGTTGGTCATGGTATTCCTATCCAACCCAAGCAGGCCCCCAGTCATGGACATAAATCGCCTATGTTGGTGATCTAAAATATTATAATATAGTTGTTATTCGTAACTCCCATATGATGAAGAATCAATATTATTTAAGAAACCACACAATTCTGTCAGTTCGAGGCGCTTTTTTTGAGTAGTTCAGTTTTCTTCTTCATTGGATGGACTCAGATACATCATAGTGATATCAAGCATTTCGGCACGAGCCATTACAAACGTGTTACCGATTGGAAGAGGTTTCCCGCTAACAAAATTTCTTTTCACACCTGAATTATTTTTATGCTCCATTAAAGCAAGAAAAAGCAACCTGACACTTGTCTATAAAACTTGGAGTGTCTAAAGAGGATCTTGACAAAACATGCTGTGATATCTTGCAGTAATACTTACCAGAAGAATAATGAGGGCCAGGGTCACATTTGTTGAAGGTGGTGTAGAATTTACGTCCACTTTCGTTATTAGTACCGCTCTAATAATAAACCCAATACCGAATTTTAGATTTGTCATGATGTGATCAGCTAATCTTTAATCTCTCATGTGGAAGTCACATCATTGTCTACACTGACTCATCATATCGTACCAAACAACAAAATGATACTCACTACTTCTGAAGAACACATTTGAGCTGAATGCAGGATAATATATTTAATGTTAGTAAAGACAAGTTATACAGAATGACCACGCCTGCAAGTCTGAGTCATTCCATCCAATCGAACTGAATTTGTGTTCACGCGTTCTCCATTGTCGGCCTTTTATTCTTGTCAGTTGGTGAACATATTTCTATCCAGCAATTATATGCTCGGCTTCATGGGTCGTTCGATTAGGGTTCAGTGTCACTACAAGTTCGACACTGTTGATTAACTTGCGAGCAGTTTTTTGATTAATTCGAGTGCGTTATATCTGAACACTCCAAATATCTATCTGTTTTGTTGACTATCTATCCATCTATCTGGCTATCTAAATATGCCATAGGTATTCGTATTTTGACAACGCCTTTACACGTAACACCCACATAATCAACGTATACGAAGCTAGTCAAATCGGAAGTCAGAAATAGAGAGGTTCAAAAATTTATTTGTAAGGCTATCTATATGTCGAGAGGCGTTTGGTCTAAGCTGACTAGCAGCCTTAAGTAATGCGTAGTACGGCGCACCCACTCGTGATCTGGTGCGGATGTGTAACCAACCGGCTTCACCTAAGTGTGTCCAGCAAAATTTTTGAGTTCTGCATCATTGTCTATCTGTCTATCTATCTATCTATCTATCTATCTATCTATCTATCTATCTATCTATCTATCTATCTATCTATCTATCGGATAATCACATTATATTACTATGAAGATGTCTAAATATTCGATCCACTTTGAGTAGCTGACACTACGTAGTTTAAATTCTTTTCAGTAGTATTCAGATTAGACCAATTTAGTGCAGTTCTGGATTTATTTCACTACATCACAATTGCTAGACATTATATTGTCAGATTTATTTCTATTCCTATACAGTTGATAGTAATTCTAAGTGTCAGTGTCGATATAAATCCAATCCAATTACAAAGCGGTCATAATCTGGTGTTATTTCAATGCTACTTTCACTTGTATTCAGTAATGTCTTCCTAGTCTTATTGTGGCTGTTTATTACTGATATATAAGCTAGTAAAGCAGTTTTTCCACATATATTCAGGAACGCTTATCCCCTAAATCTTACCCAATTCACTTCTCCTCGGTCATAAAGTGTTATAATAACGAGTATAACACATCACTAAAGACCTAGAACTGTACCCAAACAACAGGAAGTGAACACAAAAATACCGTCTGAAGATGCCGCATGTATTGGGAGTTTCATAACACTTTATTCAGTAACACCCATAATTGAATCGCGCCCACCCAGTGAAATCAAAAGTCAGGAGCGAGGAGATTCGAAAATACATTTCATAGGTAATCAATATATCGATAAGTGACTGATCTAATTTGGCTAGTGGTCGCATGAGAAGTTGAAAACGGCGTTCTCACTAGTGATTTTGAGCGGATGTGACCGGACTCCTTCAGCTGGGTGGATCCATCGAAACGAATGTTGTCAACATCAAATGTCGAAGACTTGTAGAGCTATCAATTTTGCGGGTTTATTTACAAGTCTGTTTGTACAGTCTCGACACGAAGATATTGGATATTGGAAGATCGGACCACTTTTTCAAACAGTTACGGCAAGGTAATGGTTCGAGATATCTCCGTATACTTCATTAGACATCAAGATATTTGAGCTAACAATCAAATAGCATGGATTTTTATATACAAGTCGCAACATTCGATGCAAAGTAGAGACCCTAAGCAACTTATAAGTTACAATACATGTTGATTCAGCGATGTTACTAACTTTCTGAGTTATTTTTATGTTTAGGAGCTCAGTTAACAGTAAGTGCTTTCTTCATCGTGTCTTAGTACTAGCGTTTTTCTTAATTATGATGTCTACAGAGTGGTGAAGCAGCGTCTGAACATATACACCTCCCTCTGACAACGTTTGGTCTCAACTAACCAAATGAATTGGACCTTGCATTTATTCCTTCAAGGGTTTCTAGGTACTGTTTCGTATTTTGTTATCCTTGTGGACCTGTCTAAAGCTCCATAGGTTTATGTCTTCTCACTTTTCAGGACCCTTTTTCAAAATTTCCCCAAAATTAACCTCAGTCTTCAGTAATAAGGATAGTAGGTTGATAAACCTGTATTAATCCTGACGCACTGCTTTCCAGTGAAGGTCCAGCTTCTCCTTGGAAGTATTCACTGATGGAGCTGATACCACTTGTTCGGGTAAGGCGTTCCAATGATTGACTACTCGATGAGAAAAACGGAACCCCACTTTAAGTTTATTAGATCTTGGTTTATGAAGCTTCTTGCTATGACCGCGGAGATTATTAGTGCTGGAGGGAGCAAAAAGATAAGACATATTAACACTCAAATCATAATTAAAGATACGAAATGCCAATATAAGGTCACCTCGTGTCCTACGATACGACAAGGGGAAAAGATTTAGGCGTTTTAAACGCTCATCGTAAGGGAGTCTAGAAAGACCCTTCACCAATTTCGTTCCCACACGCTGGACACGCTCAAGGGGGTTATTATCCTTTACTAGACATGGGCTAGCTGCTGGGATACAGTACTCTAAGTGTGGTCTTACATAGGTGGGATATAAAATTCGAAACGTTTCCTCGTCAAAAGATTTGAACACTCGGCGAAGTGACCATAACGCTCGAAAACCTTTGGCAGCGGCTGCTTTGCAATGTGTAGTTTTTAAATCATGACTTAATACTACTCCTAAGTCTCTATGCTCTTGAACGCATGGAAGAGGTTTACCCTCAATAGTATAACGGTAACTATTACCGTGACCGATGTGCATTAGTACACTCTTCCTAGCATTGATTTCTAAACCCCACTCTCGAGCCCATCTAACTAAATCGTCTAAGTCAGCTTGACGATAAACATGATCAGCCGCACTTTTTATTGTTCTCCAGATTTTTACATCATCCGCAAACAATAATGTCCACGACCTAAGTTACAGCGGTAACTCATTAACGTAGAGAAGGAAGAGCGGGGGGCCTAAGATGGTGCCTTGGGGTACACCACTTTTGACCGGCTTAACCTCTGTCCAGTGTTGAGAACTGAGGTTTGGATTCTTCTACCTCAAGACAATGTATATTTGCAATAGTTTGACAGGTTTTTAAACTAACGGTTGCACGGTATGTGTGGCGCACAAAGTTTCATTTTCAGTTTGTAAAGGACAGGAGTCTTGATGGCCTGTGTGACTCCTGGCAATGATGGTCTCTCAGTTGGTCCAACCTTCTTTTGAAAGTGTCGGTGGATGGAGCCCCAACCACGTACTGAGGTAACGAATTCCTCTCGTTGATGACTCGATGGGAAAGTCAATATTCAGCTGACAAGTAGTTTGTCCTTGTAAATTCCCTGCTTTGGAAGACAAGAAAAATGAGGACATATCAGGTACAGACTTATCACTAAGCAATTTGAAAACTGTAATCAAATCACCTCTAGATTTTCGATATGACAACGGGAATAGATTTAGCTTGACCAGTCGAGCGTGATACTGTAGTTTCACTATTCCGGGAATCGGCTTAATTGCTGTTCTCTGAACCTTTTCCAAAAGCTAACTATCTTTTTATAGACATGGGCTGGCCTCTTGTATGTAGTACTCAAGTTTGGGATGCACGAATACTGTATGCAAAGTCAGAAAGTTTTTATCGTCGACATGGTTAAAAGCCCTACGTATCAACGATCAGGCTCTAAAACTTTTGGCATCTATTGCACGACAGTGTGCAGTAGTCTTTAAGTCTTGGCTGACAGTGATTCCTAAGTCATTGTATGTTTGGACAACAGATAGCTCAGTGTTATTCATCTTGTATGTATCTGTACCATGATGACCGATATGCATCACAATACACTTGGAAGTATTTATCTGCAACTGCCAAGTTTGAGACCATTCAGATAGTTTCTCCAGGTCATTTGGGAGTTCTAAGCTATCACCTTTGCTTTTTATCGCTCTCCATACCTTGACATCGTCAGCATATAGCAAGACTGGTGATGATAGTAAACGAGGAAGGTCATTTACATACAAGAGAAATGACACTGGCCCCCAAACTGTACCCTGAGGCACTCCGCTGAGCACAGTCTCAGCTAGACAACTTGGAGTTCACTCGTACTCTTTGTTGGCGCCCAACAAGAAAGTATTTTATTCACATCAATAGATTCTCTCCAACCACGACATTTCTTAACTTATATAACAGCCGGTTGTGCGGAAGCTTGTCAAAAGCTTTGCGGAAGTCAATATAGGCTACGTCTACAGGTAACTTTTGGTCCTTAAGGGCTCGTCAGTTTTCACGAGCCACTAATAAGTTTATGAGACAAGAATAACCTATTCTAAAACCATGCTGCTTCTCCATAAGGATCCGGCTTTCATAGCTTCTTATGAATAATCTTTTCTAAGATTTTAACAACCACACTAGTTAGGCTGATGGGTCGGCAATTCTCAGGTTTATGTTTCGTACCTGTTTTGAAGACAAGACTTACCATGGCGTTCTTCCAGTCTTTTGTTAAACGACCCTGGGTTACGGATAAGTTAAAGCATATACTTAAATGGTTCGTAACGAAGTTAGGTAATTCTCTTAGTAGCCTAGGATGCGTCTCATCGGGTTCCGTGGATTTACCTATACCAAGCTTATTTAGCAGACCAAAGACATCGAGTTCCTTAATGGTCACGCTGTCCAGTGTTTGTGTGTGGGGATTTATATGTACTGACGGGAGAAGTGTTTTTTACGGTATATACATTGCTAAGGTAGTTTGAGAATACTTGGGCCTTACCAAAGTCTTCCTCCACTAATGATGACGCGGTACTGTCTTTCCATATTGCAGGAATATTTTCTCTTCTTTTTGTCCTTTGGTTTATATAGGAATACAAGCGTTTAGGACATTCTATGGATTCCTTAACGATTTTTTCTTCGTACAACTTTCTAAACTTACGGAGGGTCGAGGCAAAGGTATTCCGAGCTTTCCGATACTGAGATTTTGTCTCATCGGTCCCCAGTAACTTAAATCTCTCCCACACTTTTCTTCTCTTACGGAGAAGTATGCGAACCTCCCTACTGAACCATGGTGGAGTTTCTCGGCCCCTTTGGCATAGCCCAAGGGATTTGGGGTGCGGTAACTTTTAAGTATAAATTTCGAAATACGTTTCAAGCCGTTTCGATTGAGGACTCTGGCTCCATTGTCCAATCTACTGACGATGCTGAGTGCATGATACCTTACCATAAAATGTTATTTAATTGTAATATGTATTGTGACTCCCCTGTTTTAGCACTTGCTATAGGATGCTTCTTTTGTCATATGTTGTAGTGATGTATTAAAAGTTTGACTTACTAGTACGTCCCTCTATAACTTTTGAAAAATACTCCCTTAACCCCTATCAAAATGTGATTACTTCTGTGAGCTAATAGTGTACAGGACTTCATTTTTAAGAGGAGAAAATAATTTCAACGTACTACAGTGACTTAAGATTGAATGTGATAGCTATTCTAGTTCATGTAATCATTAACTATGTTTTGGAAATATTTTGTTGGCATAAATTTTCACCAACCAGAAATTCTAGACTTCCTTACTGCGCTCTACATAATACTTGTAATCTCTTAATGAAGACCCTTAATAAGATGGATTGCGATCCGTCTCTGTTGCCTATCTAAATTTGGAGTGTAGTGAATTTCCATACATTTCATTCGTTCCTCTAGAACCATGTTTAGCATGTTTCTGTTCTTAGTGTTATCCTTCTCCCTGTTTCTTTTGTTAGTTTCCTCCCCTTCTCTTTGTGGCAGTGTGGTGATTTCGGACCAGCACACGTGTGCCAGATCTTTGTTGATGTCTACATGATAACACCTAGCCAAATCCGTAGGCTTATATTGTTAGTTATAGTGTTTTTTACATATATCAAAAACATGTATGGATTGGTTAGCCAAAAACTACCTAGTACTTCTGCTAACAGACGCAATATGTAATCACCGCCTACTGCTGTCATAGTCCCTTGATAATGAAACATTATTGGACATTCTTGTTTTCGAGATTTGTTCATAGAAAGGTTTTGTCACTGCATTTGGTGGTAATAATGTTTCTTTTTAAATTAAATTAAAAATAAGCCATCTTTATAAATAGATATTTTGAGTAATCTGGTTAGGCGATGGGCTTTAACTCCTTACCATAGTTTTTGCAGCGTTTGTATTCTTGTAATAAAATCGCAAAAATAGCTTCATGACCCATCACATTGTACAGGGATAGGACTATCGAGCGTTACTTTGAGCTTTTCGACAAAATGCACGTAGTTGAATTTAAATTTTGTCACCCTCCCACAGTGCCTTAACTGATCATTAAAAAGGTACACAAATCTAATTAGTTTGTTTTTGCTTAGTGTATTATTGATAGCCTTCTCCAACTGTAACTAATAAAATCCCTTATAATTCTAGATTTGCCAGTGGTTTTCGAATTTACGGCACAAAAGTCATATAACAACTTCTAATCATGCATCTTAGAAACGCACTACGTTGCCGTTGTAACGCTCGGTTTTCTAGTCCATATGAATGGAACGCCAATTTACCTTATCCGAATATCTAAACTAGATATCCTCTCAGTGTCTATTCTACAGGACTTGAACACAACTCAGATCAAAAACACGTGACTCGTCCAACTAGAGCGTAAGTATATTCCCACACCAAAAACCGACAACAATCACAATAATAATAAGGGTGGGAAAAAATATAACTCATTTACCTGTTAGACTATCCACTAGTCTGACTAAGCAAACAACCAATCATTATCTCCCCCCCACGCATCATTTACCTACCCTAGAGATTTTTAAGGTTGTTTGTATGTAATTTCTCCAACTAATTTTTTACTATCACTTTACGGCATAAATTCTAAATACAATATTTTCTCCTTTTGTGTTAGAAGCCGTACCATTTTTACCGTATTATGTCAACTGGGCTTGCCCTTGGTTTCGCTGTCGAGGGTGCACCCTGGCACTTGGTTTCTCATTTATTCCCAGATAAAGTTGGTGGGCGACCAGCTTGGCTAGCTCTTCAACACTTACCATCTCCTAGTGAACTAAAGTGTCCAGTATGTTTGAATCCGATGTGTTTCCTCTTACAGGTATTGTCAGCATCCTAACTACTTATACTGCCTAGATATACTCCCCTCTATCTGAAAAACCTGACTGTTTTCATCGGATGTTATTTTTATTTATGTGCCGAAATAGTGAATGTCATTATAAGCCTGATCATGTACCATTCTATGTGTTTCGATCGCAGTTATCAAGACAAAATTGCTATTACAGGTAGTTATGTATTTTGTCGTAATCCATCTATTATTTCGAAGCTTCGAGCCCCCTGAGAACGAATTTCCCAGTCGCGAAATGTTAAACTCGATGATAAAGGCTAACTCTATTCCATGGGCTGGCAAATATTCATCTATCTGCCCAATATGTGGATGTAAGGCAGACAAAATTTGTTCAAAGTGTAAAACCACTTCTTATTGTTCTAAAATGCACCAGGTACAGCGGTTTTACTTATCCGATTAAACATATTTTCTTTTATTGAATTAGGTTCTAGACTGGAAACGACACAAGTTAGAATGTGGTTCGAAATGTCACGATTTCATGTTATTATTCGAACAAAATAGCTTCTTACTTCCTGAGTACCGTTTATGTTCTGAACCTGCAGACAACTTTTCTTCAAATGATGAAAGTACTTCAGAAGAGGTGGAAACTGACACTGAAACTGTAGACCTGGGACTTTCAAAGTAAATCAGTCGTAATGTGACTTCCTGTTATGTACAAATGTGGATGATAATTTAATCCACTACTTTTATCGTTTTATCAAAATGTGACAGTTTTACATGACACTAACCTTTGTACTTGCTTGTTTGACAAATGTTTGAAGTTATTAGGGCAAAAATCATGGACTTCGCCTTTTTTCGTGCTGACTTTTCAACTGTGTCTGAAATCCTAAAGAAACTCATGCTATATTAATTTCAAATAAGTGTTACTTAACCCCAGTTCAAAGTTATTATTAATATGCTACTCTGTATACAATAGACGTATTACATTATAAACCATACCAACGCATCACACTCATAGACGCTTAGTGTTATTATCTACCTAATGAAACTAAAGTAAGCTTTGTTAAGACCACTGGTTTCTCAGTCATTACCCTGATTTTAAAATCACAGCCCTTAAAATCGTATAAAACATCCAACAAATTAAGATTAGAACGTGGTAGACTGGTTTACATATTAGAGGAATTAGAATAGTGAATTGAATAGTATTAAGTTAGGTCGAGCATTATTAGTACGATTTATACTCCATTAATTAATCTGTGATACTGACATAGTTTACGCTGTATACTCAAAACATGTTGCGTTTAAGATGGTTTGATAGCAAAGTACTTTCTTGCATTTGTTAATTGTTGTTAGAAAGACAGCTAATGATGCAATGAAGAACTTCCTGCAAAAGTAATTGTGGGTTGTAAGAATGTGGAGAAAAACAGGGCTAATAATATCAACATGTAAGGACAAAACAAGTTATATAAAGATATGTCGAAATGAACATTTTGATTTGTGTTTCACGATATTGTCCAGTTTTTCATGAAGTAATATTTACACAATAATCGTCATATGGTTTAAATTCATGTCATTTACCTACATATTTTTATGAATTTATTGGCGACTAGGGGAAATGTGGAGAAACTTTATATACAGTGGTCAATAACTTTTTAGAACCAGCACTAAATCGCACTATAAAGTTGTGACTCAATCGTTTAGGTATCCGGTTTTCGAATATTGTCATGAGTTTGAGTACCGTTTCAGAGACTTTATCAGTCTCATACAATTTACCAAGCACTTCCTATATATGTTGGGCTTACACGTATCCAAATCAATGTATCGACTTAGCAGTAATCCTATACAACTGTAACCTTAGCCTTTAATCCATGCAATAAGCAGGTCTGTCTATTTCATAGCATATCTATCTTCAATTTTATTACAGTAATGTTCTTTTCTGTGAATACTTTCAGCCATTTTCGAGTAAAGACAACAGCTTTATTTTCTTGCCACAAAAATGAAAGTGTGATTTATCATTTTCACCAAGACGAAACACGCTAAATACTCAGGTGATATGTAATAACGTTTTCATTTTATACGTTATCCTTCTGTTTCTGGTGTTAGTAAAAATCGTTTGTTTGTTTAATGTTAAAATTTTTCAGTGATTCTGAAGTTAAAGCGCTTGAATTTATAGCCAAGAAAGAGACTAAAGAAGAAGCCAGATTTAGAATGTTTAGAGAAGCAATGAAATCGGCTCCTGACCAAGTAATTACATATGTATATTCTATGTTAATGTACCGTTAATTGATTCAACCTAGTACTAATTTGTGATTCATAAATCCTCAGGTTATTTTTCTTGATACTCTTTAAAATATCCAGTAAAGTTCTAGACATTTTCTTTGTGGTTTAGTACAGTTTAGTTAACTCCAAAAAATCAGTATTGAAGTTATCCCTACACTACAAAAATCATTACATTACTGAAAGGCACATGTGTGGATCTTAGTCATAAGACTTTACTTTACTTGAACACATAAATATTGGTACAAAGGAGCACCGAATATATATGCGCCACATAAGTCACTTGATTTGTGTGTGGGCTGAGATACTGCTCGGGTGCCAAAACCGAAGCAGCTGGTGTGGATCTTACGGTGTTTTGACTCAGCGAACAGATAATGGAAACTGTCTGCTGTAGCTATGCTCGTATAACCGTCGACTTTTGGGGAACACCAATTTTGAACTTGAAGAGAAAAATCATCTGACGTGGAGACCCTGACAATTGACTCATCGATTAACTCAGATAGATCACATTGCCATTAGCCATCATTGAAGGGGCTCGATAGAAGACTGTCGCTTACTATGGAGTACATTTTTAGACTTGGATCATGTTCTAGTTTGAGAACGTATTTATCTACGTCTTACTGGACATAGAAATGCTACCGTTAAATACCCCTTGAATTTCAACTAATTATGAGGAAGTTAAGGATATTTTTCAGGGACAAACGGAGGAGAGAGTTCACCGTAAAGGTGATATCCACCCCGAGGCAGCTTGGTATGATATTCAAAAAGCTTTGGAAACAACAGTGATGTATACTACTATTTGAACCAACAGGTTTAAAAAGTCAGTGAATTTCAGAGACGTCGACAGAACTGCTTGGAAACATATCCCATCTGGCTCCAAGTACGCTAAAGTGCAGAGGCAACTTAAACGAACGCTGATAATAACCTGCTTAATGATCGTGAGCATTGGTATGTGGCAAAAGCAGAAGATATGGACAAGGTAGCGGCGATAGGTAACAGTAGGCAACTGTTCAGACTTATCAAGGAAACAGGTATTAAATATATGCTTGTTAGTGAAACTATCTTGGAAAGAGACTGGGCTATTGTTCTCTCGCGATCCAGGAGATTAAACCGAAGGGTAGAACACTTTAGGGAATAGTTCGAGTGGACTTCAGTACAATTCACTTACCCATTATTTTCATGCATTTAAAATGACGAATGGACATACATCTTTTAACTCTTGATGGTGCTGAAAAGGTTACAGGAAACCTGAAGCGAGGAAAAGCAACAGGGTCTGACGGTCTAACCTCTGAGATTTTTGAGAGTGGTCGTCCAGTTTTAACAGTTAGATTAACTGAAGTTTTAGCCAAAAACTGAGAACTGGATGTAATCCCATCAGACTAGATTTGATTACTGACCGTCCTAGTTTATAAGAAAGGACTAAAATACTTTTGCAACAATCACAGAGGAATCAGTTTAATTAATTTAGTGTCTGAAATACCAGCCCCAATGATATTTCGACGTCTAACTCGAGCTCGTAATGAGCAAACCCCAGAAAAAAACTAGGATGGTTTCTGACCTAGATCAAATATTCTCGTTTCGGCAGGTTCTGGAAAATAGACACACTTTTCGACGCCTTAAGGTGGCTTTCGACTCTGTTAGTTCATGGAGTTCTGTGGGAGTGTCTGTCATCGAAAGGCATACCGAAGTACGTAAACCTTGTACAGGCTCTATTCGGACAATGCTGGTCGAGTCAGAGCTTATGGCGAACTGTCATTAGGATCGGTTACTTCAAGTGGTGCTCGGTAGGGTTGTCTGCTTCCTCCATTTTTATTTAACTTTGTCATAGACATGTTTTTAAAGATAACACTTTCATCGTCTGACTTTTCAGGGTTTGATCTACCAGGAGATTCACTTGTTGACTTAGAATACTCAGATGACATAGTTCTGTTTGGTGAATACGTTGATTAAATGCAGTCTTCCGTTCACCTTAAGCAACAATGTAAGCATATTTGGTTTGTGATTCTCCTCCTCCAAAAGTAGAATGTTGTTTCAGGACCGGCCTGCGTCTACTCCCGAATTAATGACGGGGAGTGCGTCAGTTGAATATATCAACCGCCTCACTCATTTTAGGAGTTTCATCAGTCTTGATGGTCTGAAGTCTAATGAAATCTGTTTATGGATTCTAAAAGCTCGGTCGGCCCTTTTGGACTTTCGTCATTTATGGCATAGGCGAGATATCCGTCTGCCAACTAAAGTGCGAGTATACTACACGGTAGTTCGCTCCGTTCTACTTGGTGGTTATGAAACATAGACTTTAAGAGCAGGTACTATTCGTAGGTTACTGGTATTCAACCATATATGTCTTCGAAGCATCACTCATGTATTGTGAGGCCAGTGAGTATGCGATCCGTAGGTTACGAATGGGGTACTAGATAATAGTGAGAAGTTTATTGATGGGGTAGTAAATCCTCATCTGGTGAGGTGATTAGGACATGCTACGTATTCCCATCCACTGTCTACCTCAAAGAGCGATATTGTCTGGTGTAGTGGTGGCTGTATGAATGATATTTGTCTTGCTCATGATTCGGACATTTCATACACGTACTAATTGTTGCTCTGGTTTTGAGAATGGGCATCAGTCTTGTGGCTAGCGAAGATAGCTTTCACCGTGAGGCGTTATAATTCCTCTTCCTAGAAACCATCAACAGCTTCAAAGGGGCTGCATGTGGAGTTTGGTTTTAGACACAGTGTACTAGATGCAAGTCATAGATCAGTTTAAGTTGTCAATTTGCGAGTTTTCAGCTCCAATCCAGTTCAGTCCTGTTTGATGAATGGTCTAAAAATATATTGATAAAATGTCTTGAACCCCTAGACTACAACACAACATTAGTTCAGGAAGTCAAGTGGTCACTTTAATCCGTGTACCAAGTTGCTGACTTTGCATTTAACGTCTTTTGGGTGGTCGTAATTAATGATTACAGATTTTGGTCAATCTCTGGAGTTTTTTTGGTGTAACAATTTCTCATCTTTCCCTAATTTGTAGGCATATTATTGTCCCACCATATCTATTCTTACTCATTTCTGTTCGTTGTTTTCTAAGCTTCTCACTTCAATCGGTATTAATAGTTTCTTATCTTTTTGAAGTGTGTTAACTCGTGACATTGTCAAGTCATGTGTTGTTTATAGCCATCTACCATATATATTCCTTATTTGTTCTTGTTTTTATTTAGGTCGTACGATTTCATAGAGGTGGTAAACCCATTTGGCTGAGTAACGATCCTGTAGAAGTTGAAAAATGTGAAGTTTGCGGTTCTGAACGTGTTTTCGAATTTCAGGTATGACTTTTAAAAACAGTTAAGGTTAATTTCGTTCCATGTTCTACGTTTTTAATGTATTGTAGTTGACTTCAAACTAACCATATAGTTTTATGCATAAAAGTATGTAAATGAAAAATTTAAGTGATCTAACGTTGTCCACCGTATAATTGTATGGTAATCCATGACATTATCAGAATTATTTATTTGCACGGTAATATATTTGATCATTATATGCCAATAAAATTAATTCTTTAATCTCAAATGTTAGTCAAGGTTCACTTACAAAGGATTTGTGCGATATGCTTACTAAGACAGTTATTACAGTGTGATAGATTGTGTTGAGTGTGAACTAGTGTTATACATCAAACCTCATTCCCACGATTACTGGTAAGTTGGTTTAAGGAGTTAGTCGTCAACGCCAACAAATCTAATCTTTCAGCTATTTTTGAACTGTACACCACGTTTAAAGTCCTTCTCAACATGTACCAGGAAACAGACATTTGCATAGGATTCAAGAATGCTACTCTGTAAATGGTTTGTGTACCCTAATAACTCATACTCACGATTCAAATAAGTCACTTCTATTATTCGTAAAGCATTTTTACAATTTATTTTTATTATTTATTTGGACGCATAAATATTGGAACAAGAGTGCGCCAAATATATATGCGCCACACAAAACAATGAGAATTTAAAGAGAAGGAAAAAAAGGTAAGGAGTGTAAAAGAAAAAGAGAACAATAACGAACAGATTGGTGTAAGGTAGTGTAATAATAATAATAGTAATAATGAGGGAACGAAAAGGTACAGTCAGAAGAAATCTTTCAGTTAAGGAAGACACAACCACTTTTTATGAAGAAAGTAAAAGAAGGTTACAGCAGGATCGCCACTGGCTTCTATTCTGAGCCATATCTGATAACGTCTCTAGCCACTGTGTTGCACCATCTCTCGGACCCCAACCAGGGAGTCGTAAAGGACCAACACAAGCCAGTCCTTTGCATCTTTCATACCACGACACCATGTCATATACTGACCACCTCTCCGCTTTTTCCAACCAGTCCCAGCGTCGGCAAATAATGAACGGTGTGGAATTCTCTGGGACGACATTCGTAGAACATGTCCAAGCCACCAAAGTCGGTGTTTCAAGATGGTGACACCAATTGAATTGTCGTCTCTGTACCTAAACACACGATGCCGAACCTCTGCATTACTAACGTGGTGTTGCCACTAGATGTCAGCAATCCTTCGGAGACAACGATGATCGAACACAGAGAGTCGTCTAACATCCTCAACTCGGAGAAGCCAGGTATCACAAGCATAGAGCAAAACTGCTCTCACCGACGCGTTGTAGATCCAACCTTTTACAGCCAGTCTGACATCGCGAAGGCGCCAAAGGTGGCCGAGATTGACATAAGCCGCTCTGGTTTTCACTATACGTGCATTGATCTCATCACTCACACCACCACCAGCACTTATGCAGCTACCCAGATACACGAACTTCTCAACTACTTCTATCTACTCCCCATACAGGGCGAGTACAGGATCAGCGTCCTGCCAGTCTTGTAAAAGTACTCTGCACATACCGTACCTACGGACATTGATTGCCAACTGATCAAATGCGGATTGCATGCCTTGGGCATTATCGCACAGTAAGACTATATCATACGCATACTCAAGGTCGAGAAGTCTTTCTCCAGACAATAGATCCACACCGCCATTACTTACATCCATCAGAGCTGTTTCCAGAATGTCGTCGATAGCAAAGTTGAAAAGGAATGGTGAGATTGGGCGACCCTGTCTAACCCCACTGCTTGGATGGAACAATGGAGAAAGGTGGTTGTATGCCCTCACTCTACCTGAGGTGTTTGTATATAGGGCTTTTAGGATGTTAATAAACTTCTCAGGCACACCCTTCTTCAATAGACAATCCCAGAGAACAGTGCTATCCAACGAATCGAAGGCAGCCCTGATGTCAAGAAACATTACGATTGTTGGCCTTTGATGAGTATGACGGCGTTCTAACATTTGGCGGAGGGTGAAGATATGATCAATACATCCTCGACCAGAACGAAAATCAGCCTGCTCCTCGCGAGTCAATCTTTCTCGGGTTTTGAACAACCTACGAAATATGACGGAAGCCAATAGCTTGGACGCGATCGGAGGTAGACTTATCCCTCGATAGTTGATACAGGAACGACGTGAACCCGTTTTAAAGATAGGGACAACTATCGACTCATTCCATGACGTTGGTACGCTCTCTAGTTCCCAGATCTTTGTAAACAACGTCGTCAGTTCCTTAGTCAGAAAGTCACCACCGTCTTTAAAAAGAGCCGGAGGTAAGTCATCTGGGCCTAGTGATTTGTAGCGCCTCAAGAGTTGGAGTTCCTTGCGGAATTCCGCCTCGTTTGGTGGATCGGTCGTCACCGACCATGGAGGGCAGAACAGTCTGACCGATGTTGCAGGAGCAGCAGGCCAGTTGGACTGCCCTTCGAAGAATTCTGCCCATCGTCCAAGACGTCGATGGATGTTAGTGATTGGCATCCCATCATCCTCGTAGATTGTTTCACTCACACCAGACTTCTTGCTGCCAGTGGCTCGGACGAGTTGGATAAGCTTCCGGTAATTATCAGATGCAGCTGCTGCTTCCAACTCATTAGCACGCTCCGACCACCAGGCTTCTCGGTCCTTACGCAAGCTTTGCCCACTTTCTTTACGTAACATCCTTCGTTTGTGGTTAAACTCACGGTCACCCGGAGTAGACCGACGGGCTTCAGTGAGTTGTAAGGAGCCTGAAGAAACCCAGTGCTTATAAGCGGGACGTTTCGCGAAGCCGCAAGCGGCTTTACTCGTCATTTTCATGGCGTCGTGAATTTGCAACCAATGCTCGTCTATACATTTCGCTGGATTGGTAGCTAGCCTAGAAGCAAGCTCAGTTTGATACTTACTAGCAACAGAAGTTGCAACCAACTTGCTGACATCAATCCTTTGGTGACGACCACTTCGTTGGCAACTGAAATGTAAGGTGAGATTGGCGCAGACCAGGGCATGATCAGAGTCTAGATAGAAACTCCAAAAGAAGCGGCAGTCTTGTACAAAATCACGCCAGTGGTAGCTGATCGCGATGTGATCAATCTGAGTCCAGGCTTGGGATGCAGAGGGAGGACGCCAGGTGGCACATCGGTGATGACTGTGCCGAAAGTTAGCGCTAGCCAGAAACAGGTTGTGGTCTGTGCATAGTTGCAGTAGACGGTCTCCGTTATCTGTCCTGCGACCAACAAGTCCCCATCGGCCACCTAAACGATTCTCTTCTGTGCCTAGACGCCCAACCTGAGCATTCAAGTCTCCGGCTAGTACTGCAATATCTGTCGAACGCACTTTCTGGAGAAGAACAGTTAACTGGTGGTAGGATTCATCCTTGATTGGATCCGGGCTGCGATATGTCGGAGTATAGGCGGAGATGACGAAAAGACATCGTTTCTCACGCCGATTTCTTCTCACTTTGACGGAACTTTCTAATCTAACAGCACATAACCGACTGTTAATGGGGATCCAATCGATTAGTGCTGCCTCAGCTCTAGCGCTTAGTGCGACGCCAACGCCAGCAAGACCAGACGTAGATGCCACAGGGTCCCCGGATAAGCGCACGTAAAACAAGCTTTTTGAAGCGACAGATGGAGAGCGAATTTGTAGTACTTCACCAGAGTCTTGAATACGGGTCTCGGATAGACAGCAAACATCGATATTAAGAATTTCTAAAGACATAACCAACCCTATCTGTTCTCCAACCTGCATAAGTGTGCGAACGTTGAAGGCAGCCAGTTTGAATGGTGCACGTGGTTTCAGAAAAACTGCTTCAGTACTTATATTCGGTGGTAGCATACCATTTTCAACCAGGCAGTGATTCGAGAACGTTTAGATAGAGTCCCATTTCCACCATAGACGAGCCGCTGTATAAGTATAAAAGAGGGTGAATAATGACGTAGTAAATAATAATAATAATAATAATAATTTGAATCATTTGATTGTTAGTCGAAGCAAGAAAAGTAGTTTCCATAATTATAGACAGTTCATCATTTGTGTGTGGGCTGTGATACTGCCCGGGTGCCCAGACCGAAGCAGGTATGACTATGTTTGTTGTCTGCACTTATACCTGGAGTATTCTGCAAGTTCGTGTAAATGTTTAGTATTATAAATCCTATCTGAGGTGTTACAAGCATGATCGGTCATCGTATATCGAAAACCGCTGCATCATATGCAGATTTAGCCCATCTTTCACAAAGTTTTGATTTTAATGGGATTATAAATGTCTGTTTTACAACACATGTTTGCTTTGTCCGCGCGGCATGTAGTCTTCTCATAGTATGTATTCTGTCATTTCTGTCTTCGTGGTATTACACACTTTTAATGACAATGCTATGTAACAAGTATTCGGAGACGGCAGAAATCTTAATTGAACCTGTAGAAAGTAATTCCCTACAGATGCTATTCTAAACTAATCCCCAGACTGTTAAGCACAGAGTCTTAGACTCTGAGAGCTATTTAGGTTGATAAACTCTGCCATTAGTATGCAAAAACAAATAATACAGTCTATCAAACAAGGAAAAAGAGCGACGTAAATAACATACCGAACAGTAATTAGAGCATAGGAGAAATAAGTCAACAAAACTAATTTATTTTATGACAAACGTGAAAGATTATGATTGATGAATAAATAAGGGATAGTCATACGAAGTCAAAGAGTGTCAATGAAGTGGTGGGCGTTAAATACTGTCATTAGTGGGTTCAATAATCAATCACACCTTACAAAACCTGTAAATCTGTTTTTAATCACAGTGTTTAGCGGTTGATGATTTATGAACAATTAATCTTGACTTTTCACCTTGTTTGAAAAATTTAAATTGGTTACTTGTAGCATTGCATTTTAATAAAAGAGAAGATTTTGATCTTTTAGAGCGTTGCAGCCTCTTCAATGTTGTTTGAGTCATCGAGCTCACAGTTGATTATATATATATACTAATCCATCCCAACCAACCACTGGTAATCGTAGTAGTGTCATATTTCGTTTTTAATTAAATAACTAAAAACGCCATTAAAAGATTATTAAATGCATCTATTTTGTACAACTGTTTTTCCAAACGTTTTAGTCACTCACTGACCCATTCCATTCAATTTTTTTCATTCGCAATATTATTAATCTGTTTTGTTTATCTTTTGCGTGGTTTTGTTTACTGCTTAAAGTCTATATTTTGCGAATATTGTGGTTAAAAACATGGAAATGCTTTTATCTTGCTTTTGCAGGTTACTCCTCAAATATTGTTTCACTTAAAATTGGATAAAGTTGGTGAATTAAATCCAGATTTCGGTTCGCTTTACGTTTTTACTTGTTCTAATTCATGTGAACTTCCTAGAAGAAAAAAATGTACAGAAGTATCACCTTCTAAATGTGATAATGCATTTATTGAATATCAACGTGAAATTGTCATTCGTCAAATGGTTCCATAATTGATTAACAATTATTTTTATGTGAAGGGTTAGATGGCTTGATTTTAAAATAAAAATTGATCCAAGTACAGATTTGATCAGTAGTTCTGTTGATTAGATATTGATATAAATCTGTGTAAATCGGTATCACTATCTTTTTACGGTGTTAGACATTACTACTATCAGTTATTATAAAAGCATATAAAGTTCTCTTTCACTATTTTGTTAAATGTTGGAACGCATCTGTTTTCGTTATTATTTATTATTAATCTGTTGATTTAATCAATTAAAAAAGCATTTAAAATGTTATTGCTACCACCAAACTGATCGACAACCGTATTAAATTTTAGAGTGCTGAAACGATAATCTCTGTCTGTTCATATCAACTTGTAGTGTCTACACCGTTGATAGGTCTGTATCAATGACGTAAGCAGATAATTATTATCGACAAATTACATTTATGTTCTATTGATTTGCAATAATTCCTTATATATAATGAGGGTCTATGCAACTCTTAATTAATGCCACCTAGAAGAATTCCTTTCACATTGTTACATCAAAACTTATCTAAATAACATAAAATATCGAAGTCCCAATATATATTTCCGTAATTTATAAATTTTCCAAGTTACCAAAACAGAAAGCTTAGAAAAATTAACTCTAGAAGTAATGAAAACTGGATATTTAAACGAAGATACCGTTATCATCTTAAAGTTTACAACATGCTTTAGCAGGGTGATTAGCCATATCCCTTTATAAACACAACCACGTTAGGTGACTAAAGTCAATTAGCATTCAGCTTGACCACTTAGGTTCCGTTCGGGATAGTTGAAACAATAAGAATTGTCAGTCTATCGAAGTACTGAGATGTGGGTGATTGTAAATTTCCAGTAATTAATATGACAAAACTCAATAAATCAATGAGTAAATCATTTTCTTGTATATAATATAGAATAAATGTGATCAGAAGATACTTTGTATGCAAGACATCGTTGGAACTAATTAGTTTTCTGTATAGACCCTGACTGTTGTTGGGTGCTATATTAACAGTTACTGTTTATCATCGAAATTATTAGTCTTTAACTACGATTAGTCGTTGGAGACTAGGTGACATGTCTCAGAGTTGTCCACAATGACACAGGTGCATTCACTTTTGATTTTCAAATCCAGTACTTCTTCATTCCTAAACCAACCTCATTGTGATTTATTGAATATGGCAGAATGACATAAAACAATATAGAAATGGTAAGAATACCAGATGCCTGGTTCGCTCCATTCTCTCCCATGATAATTTTAAATTGGTGAGTCGAAATACATTTCAATGCCATGGACCTGCATAGTGGATTTTTTCGCAGTTCTCACGCCAGTATCATTTTTTCTAACTTTCTGAAGTAATACAGTACATTCGTTTTGTAAACCATTCGGAGCGGTAAATTATATTTCTGATAGTGAAATATCAAATTGTAGTATTCTACTTTCACTCTCGAAATTTCTACGAATGCACGTAAAATAGGGAGATCATTATATTATCAGGTTTATGAATATCTGAATGGCATCCCGCAGGGAAGTTCCTAAAATTGGCCGTTCGTATACTATTATGGAAATATTATATTCACTTGCTAGATTATTAGAATAAATCCATGTTTTGTTAATAAAAAGGATTTGTTAGTCCTGGTAGATTTCGATACATACATATTTATGATTACACCATTAGAAAGTCTTTAGATCCCACTTAACATTTCATTGTTCTTCAATTATTATCAGCAACATTGTTAAAATATAGGAGTACAAAAAGATTATTCTGTGCGGTGGATTGGTGGTCAAGCGATTTGACCTTAAAGCAGTAAGTTGCAAGTTCGGTCCCTATTCCGAATAATTTTGCTCAGGTGGTCGGATAAATGACGGTCTTGAATTTAGTTTTTACATCGTCCTTCGTTGTCTTACGATTAGTGAAAATATTCTGAAGCTTAAATTAACTACTTGTAAGTAGTAGAAATTTATTTTAAAAAATAACTCGGTCGCTTTAACACTTCAGATTGAACGATAGCTGAATTCTTGATTAGATTTGAAGGAGATAACTAACTGGTAATTATGCCAAGACTTTGTTTCATTTACCTGATGAAAATCCAATAGATAAGTTGATATTATAAAGTATATTGTTGAATTTCGCCAATAATTATTTTCAAAAAATTAAAACTTCTTGTCTTTATAAATTTACATTTTGTCCAGTCGGTTGTAAAATCTTGCAGTAGATTTTGTTATGTTCTTATGCTCTGTGAGTAAATCGCCAATGAGGACATTAATTTATACGACCTAGGCATTGTGCCAAACCAGTCACACGATAACCAGTACGAGCAGCGTAGAGTTAACTCTGAGTATTGATTCTTCTCTCCTAGCTCTGTCCGTTTGAGTCCAGAACGCAATCTCATATTTCACTGTTTGAATAGTTCGTTTTAGACATACATAGCCTATATACAAGTAAATCATACCATAAAATAGAATGTAACAATTATAACAAGGCCAGAGGTGACTGTGAGTATGAGATACTGTAACTAATAAATTGGGAATGACTTAAGAATGGCAAATCGTATAAGAGTAGGTAATAGGTAGAATGAAAGGTTCATGAATGTACATATAATCTAGTTACTCAATAGTTACCCAACTAGAATATATGCAATAATAGTCCATAAATAATTCCGAGCAGTTACCATTCATATATTCTTCGTTAGGATATGACAAATTTTATGTGAATTGAGTCGACCGAGTGCTGCAGAATAAGTTCGGAATCAATGTGTGCAAACCGATCATTCTTCAGTAATCATCCTTACTTTAGTTGCGTTGTACACTTAGTGAAATTATTTTGACCAAGTTTGCAATTTGGCAACTGAACTAAATGGCTGGACAGATCGGTGTGTCTTGTCTAAAGGTTTGGAGGGATTATTGAGTAACAGTAGACCTGTGTTTCGTGTTGGTTGACATTCATCGGCAAGTTGTATCTGCACGAAGAGATGAACTGCATATTATGCACTGTCTGATTTATGCAATCGTGAGAGTGACAGCAAGTCAGTAACGACCTGACCAGCCTAGTAGTAATGTTTCTGGGTAATGTATGTCCTCACGTCTGAAGACTCGTTATTATCCCAGATGTCAACCAAAATGAGATTTGTTTTCACGGTGGTTTTGCAACAATCTCTAATGATTGAAAATGAAAATCAATGATATGTATTACAGTTGAGTCTTTCAATTTCCAACCTGTGGATACTTTCAAAATGAGTTCCAGGTTATGATTTTAGTAACGGTATTAGTAATCGTTGGGATACATGCATCGTAATCTCAAAACTCAGTTTTAGGACCAAACGTGATTTTTTCAATGTCATTAGTTGATATTATGTAAACACACTGTCTACGCAGGAAGATGTAATACTTAATGTTATTAGTTGGATGCTGACAGTCGACACATTTGAACTCCACTTGTCGAGTGTTGGACAGTTATCAACCGAAGGCAAGAAAAGACGGTTGTGCAGTATCGTGAGTTGATTGAAGTTAGACAATAATATCATTGGATATTGATTCCGTGGTTTAGTGGTTAAGTTTTTACGTGAGAGACCGAAGGTCCTGGATTCTATACTGTATAGTTGGGGAGTGAATGGGCATTGCTGAGAAGGCTCATGTTAGATCTAAACAGCTATTCAGTGCCCCCTGGTTTCCAATCGCGGTCTAGCTAATATCACTTCGTGATTTAAATTTTAGCTTAAATAATATCAGGTATCATGTATTTTGTTTCATATTTTGACGGTCACGTTTAATTATCTGAGTAAAATGAAAAATTATTGAACTTTTTTTCGACGACATTTTAAATGGTTGCTTGTTTATAATTTTCTGGCAACATTTAATATAGAAATAATAAATTAGATTGAATTGTCGACCCAAGGTCATCACAGATTGAGTTACATATATTTCAATATTAAAATAATGAAAAACTACATATTTATTCTTGTATATAATGTAAGTTATTCTACGTGTTATTGTACACTGACATCCCTTCATTCTTGCCTCTTTTCGAAAAAATACCCCACCCCAAGTTTCATTTAGTTAAAGTTATTCAAGGTCGTTCTGATGATGATGAAGTTTGAAATCCAATTCTAATTTGTCAAATTTACTGTTTTATCTATACAATACGAGTATTTCAAATAATTACAAAAAGGTAATCTTAATATTATAAATGAACAGATGTTATGTCAATTAATTTAATTTTAACCCATTTTATTTATTATAAACAAAATGATAAGATTTTATGTCATGGAATTAAGATTTTTGGTGAATAAAACAATTTTCAATTGTGTTTAGCAGAATGTAGATTTACTAATTAATTATGATGTGGATTAAGGAGAATGAAAATAGTTTTTTGTATGTTTTTTGACTGCTAACATAAATTCATACTTGGTACCAAAAAAATTGTGGATAAATAATATTTGAATAAAACAAATAGGTGAAAATGAATGGTGTTTAGAGTCTACTTTCATAATAATTGAAGGAATATATAAAATCAAACATTTTATTTTAACTAATCTACCACTGCTGTTTTTTAGTGCTGATTGATAGATAAGTACTTGAATATAATATAATTGTTAAGAAGTGCCTTTAATTATACTTGGCAATTACATAAAAACCCATGTTTAGTTCGAATAAGTTTAACCAGTTGGAGCCATATGTTAATAATACCTGCGGCTGACGTATTTGTTTTCCTTTTATAACTGACTGACCAAGTATTCAAGTCACTACTGATTTCAGTATATTTTCTGGACACATTTCAGCTTCATATTAAAGAGTGATAGTGATCTACGGTCACACAATCGTTCAGTGTTCAACCTTAATAATTATCGTTGACATGACTTATATTTACTAAAAATATTGCGTATTAAATTCGTTTATTCAAATGATTACGCACTCTATTTTTAGCTGCATTTTATTGAAGAACTAGTGTATACAGACTATTTTGTGTTCAGTGATAAGTAAAAATA